TACCATATCAAGATAGAATCTATCTTTACTTAAGTGTTATCTAGGAGAATAATAAAAGACAAAGATAAAGGTTTTTTAATGTTTATTCAACAATCCCTACAAGAAAGACAAATTAGAACAGACAGAAACAAGCATTCGTGGCGGTACAATACTGTGCTCTATGGAGATATAAGGGTACTTTTCTCTCTAGGCTCTCCAGGGGTCATGATGAAATATTCTCGGAAAATTAATCAAGTCTCTTTGCCCCACTTATTTGCTCAACCAACAACCACCTGATGATTAATTAAATTGGTATTATGAATTTTAAATGAGTCTTTAGTAATTTGGTTACTATTAATCAAACCCCCAGGGCTTACTCACCTCAAGGTAAGCTGATAAAATTGAATTCCTTAGTCTGCAAAGATCTAACACCTCAAAACACTATTCCAACAATCCTTATCCCCTCCCCAGGAGGCCCTGTAGGAACATTTATGGAGCCAACTCCTAATCAGCTTATCTGCCATAATATTGTTGTTATTGTTAAGTGCTATCCAGTCAGTTCCTACTATAGCGACCCTGTATAGGGTTTCTGAGGAGCGGCTGGTAAATTTGAACCACTGACCTGACAGTTCAAACCAACTTTGTGGTCAAGTGCTTATCCTACAGCAATATTAGTTCAGCCTTAAATGTCAACAGGTCACTGACTAGCAATTGAAATGGACCTTCAGAAAATAAATAAAGAAAAGGTTTATTTATGATATAAAGAATAAAAATAATAAATAATACTGTCCTTTATAAGGACAGTCCGTACTAGGACTCCTGGTGTAGGGCTGTAGGAACAGCACTAGACTGCAAACCATAAGGTCAGCAGGTCAAACCTACCAGCTGCTCCTTGGAAACCCTATACAGGGTTTTTATGAGTTAGAACTAAGAGGGGTAATATTGTAAATATTAGTCTTTGTTGTCTCAGTTAAACATCTAGGCTTAAACCCCAGGGTCAGAATGTAAGGAAAACAGAATATGACTAAGAAAAGACATAACTTGCAGTTTAAATGTCATGGAAATACTGCTTTGTCTTGTGGCACCGGGTCTTTACTGGTACTAATACCCACCCTAGAACATGTAATATCTTAGGACTCCAGGAATGTGATGACCCTTGATCTTCATTCATTTTGCTTTGTAGATACCATGTAAGGATCTTTCTAAAAAAAGCTTTCACAATTCAAATAAACACAGGCAAGGCAGATCCTCTTATCTCTGGGCATCTGTGTTTAACCATATTAACCTTAACTCATCACACATTGCCTCCCAGGTAAGAAATACTGGACTTTTCTTGTATTTATAACTGCCACTTGCTCCATACAAGCATTACCTGATACTTTGTCAAAGAAAGCATTCCCAGTCTCTTTTCAGCCTTTTCTCTCCTGCCTCAGCATTGCTGTTTTTTTTCTCAACTAAAATACTACAAATTTCATCTTCTCGGGCTCTCTAAATGCTACTCTACACTCGCTACATTTGCTTGAATGCTCTGTCAAAAATTTCTCTGCCTTTAATAAGAAAAAAATTCAACAAAACAAACTTCCTCTCTGTAAAGTATATGGATGATTCTACAATCAGGTTTAGAATTCTTGCTGTACTATAAATTGCCTCTCTTTCTCCCCATCTCCTAGTCTTGTTCAAATGCAAATTTTATTGATGATTTACAGATTAATGACAGTCCAAAATGCATGGAAGTCAACATTAAGAGGCTTGGAGGGTGAACTAGTGCAATGAACTACAGAACCAACTACTAAATGATTTCACTTGGATGGGGGTAGATCGAATCTAACACGATGAGATTTATCATGGCTAAGTCTAGATTTCCATACTTAGGTTTATTATAGATGGAATTGAGCCCCCCACCCACCAAGGCGCTGTGGGTTAATGCGCCAGACTGCAAAGCCATTTGAACTGCAAGGCCAGTGGTTCAAGCTCACCAGCTGCTCCTAGGAAACCCTATACAGGGTTGCTATAGGTCAGAATCGACTCGACATCACTTAACAACAACCCCCAAAACATGTATTGAAATCCTTATCCCTATGTTGTTGTGTGTCATCAAGTCAATTCCGACCTTGTATAGGATTTCCAAGGAGCAGCTAGTGAGCTTGAACCACCGACCTTGCAATTCACACGACTTTGCGGTCTGATGCATTAACCCACAGCGCCACACCAGGGCTCCCATATGTAATCCTGTTTGGCAATAGGTTTTTTGGTGTACTGTCAACAAGGATATAATCAGTATAAGATGTGCCCTAAACCTAGTCACTTCTGAGTTATAAAAACGGATTAAACATAGACAAGCACATACCAGGGGATTTTAAAAAGTTCATGGAAAAAATCCATTTTCTTTTCTTTTTTTAGAACAATGTTAAATTAAGACCAAAGAAACATGAGTAAGAAAACTTACATCTGTCTACAAAGAATTGGTGGTTTATCTTTAACTCCATGTGGTAGAATGATTGGATTTGTCATCTATGGGACTCCATGGGTAGACCTGAAAACTAAATTAAGTAAATGGTCTGACTTATTCACTGATGTATCATCACTGGCACCCACCTGGTCAGAATTAATCCATACCTATTTGATGAATGAATAAAAGCAATAGGAAGAGGAAACATGGAGTAAATGTTGAATTGGCTTTAAGAACTTTCTGACATTCTCCTATATTATAAACTCAGTAAAGCCGAGATTACCTGTCATTCTGCTCTGGTTCCCCAGTGTCTTGCACAAGGCTCGAGAAACTACGGGTCATGGACGCTAAGTTGGTTAGTGATGGCGTAGGAAAAAGTCAGTCCCTTAGGTTTTAATTTCATTTTTAGATAATGGAAAATTTTCACAAACTTTTTGAAGCCTCCTTGTACTGGGAAAGACAGATGTCATGTGAGGATCACCATGAACCAAGGAATGCCCAGGGCTACCAACAAGGAGGAGTCACTGGGTGATGTAGATGATTAATGCTAACTGAACTGAAGAGTTAGAGATTTGAGTCCACCAGAGGCACTTCAGAAGAAATGTCTAGTGATCTGCTTAAACAAACAAACAAACAAAAACCCAGTCAGTGAAAATCCTAGAGATTACACAAATACAATCTTCATTCTATCATGGGAAAGGCACAGAATGGGTTAGCGCACGTGCAGGTTGCCTTGAGTTGGGGGTGGGGTGTGTGGGAAAGGTGGAGGAGGGAGAAAATGGGGAGTGAAGAGCAGCAACTCCAGGACAGCCAGAAGCAACATTCTTTTCCATCAGAATAGTGGTTTGTAGCGTACAAAGTCCTTTAATATCATCTCATTTTTAAATGTATTAAATATAACAGTCCCTTAAAATAGGAAAGTAGAGGTTTCAATTTTACAAATGTGGTAGCTGAGTATCTGAGATATTAAGCAACTTACAGAGGGTCATCTGGGAAATTGGGCAGCAGAACTAGATATTGGATGACTCAGGTCATCTAAGTCCAAATTCAAAACTCTCTCTAGTTCTACTTTGGAGTCAGACTATGATTTGATTCCAAGCTATGCTCGCAACTGAAATCATTGTTTTATTCAACCCACTTTCCCAAGTCTTTTCCTATACATTTTCCTTTCTATTCCTTCTACCACTCCTTGTACCATGGAGGATATAAGCTTAACATGTATTTATCTGACACTTTGCCTATGTTCTCTATGGCTTCTACATATTTGTTTCTAAAAGCACAAAAAAAAAATATCTAAATTTAGAATCCCTGGTGGTATAGTGGTTAAAATGTGCAGCTGCTAATGGAAAAGTTAGAGGTTCAAACCTACCAGCTGCTCTCTGGGAGAAAGACATGGCAGTTTGCTTTCCTAAATATTTATAGCCTTGGAATCTCTATGGGGTGATTCAGCTCTGTCTTCTAGGGGTGGTTCAGCTCTGTCTTCTAGGATCACTGAGTCAAAATCAACTCAACAGCAAAAAGATTGGGTTTGCACTGAAAAAAGTCACCTACACGCGTGCTCAAGCGTATACACAAGAGTTGATACTTGATAAATTAAGCACTTTCATTGCTGTTGTTAAGTGTCATCGAGTCGGTTCCAACCCATAGTGGTTCTGTATAGGACTTTCAAGGAGCAGCTGAAATTGCTGCGCTTGCAGTTCAAATTAAGTTTGCAGTCCAGTGCATTAACCCACAGCACCACACCAGGAGTCCCTTAAGTGCTTACAAATTCTAGACTTGTGAATCTGCCAAGAGGACAAGAATCTTTTGTCAATCCTGGCTTCTAGTTCTCACAGTCATCTCTACTTCTTTCAAAAATCTTCATTCAAACAAAAGTCAGCTGCACAGACTTGTTTTTGCAAGCCCATTGCAGGAGAAACAGTAAAGAAAATGTGATTGTCTGTATTTCAGGCTCATTCATGCGAGACTGAAACTATAACATTATTCCTTGGGTTGGGATGAAACTTTTCTGGGGGGAACACCAACACACACACAAAATGTGAAGAAAGTTCTCACTATGCAAAGTGTCCAAATGACATAGTGTGGCTAAAACACAGACCTTTTGAAATTTAAGCACTGCCAAGGGTTTTCCTTTGTTGACTCAATTATGCATGCACAGCCAAGAATCACTAAACATGAAATGCATGATTACAGCTTGCATCTATTTTCTAAAATGAAGGCAAAGCATGTATTAAATGTATAGAAATAGATAAAGAAAAGAATCCCAAGAATGTCACTTCTTCCAACCAAAGTGGGAGAAGAATAATTTTGTTTTGTTTTGGTGATTTAGCTGGTCAAATGATCTGTTAAGAATATTTCATCGAGCTAATGTTCTGATGCTTTAATTATCTCTCTAGGCAAGGTTCATATTTGTGTGGGTTACTTATTCTCCCTTTGTTGACTAAGTCAATAATCAGAATCAGCAGGTTTGGAGACAGATTGGCAGGGATAAACAGCCTGGCTTAGAAGAAGTTGCGTATAAAAGCCCAAAGCTGGGAGCAGCCCTCATAGAAATCTGCTAGCTCTAGGCAAGATGGCTTCTCATCACCTGATCCTCCTTTGCCTCGCTGGACTGGTATTTGTGTCGGAGGCTGGCCTTGTGGTGAGTATTTGATTTTGTAAAATCCCTTCCATAAGTGCCATGTGTCTACTGGACAAATTAGCAGTGATTTATTTCAGCTTTGCCAACCAACTTTTGTTACTAGGGGCCAATCTGCCCAGTACCTATTTTTAAATACCACTGATTCAAACCTGAAAACGACTGAAGTCCTGCAGAACTTACCAAACTCTCGGAGCTCTCCCTACTGCTGTGGTTTACTGAGTTTGCAATGTCTTAACCAGCTGCCTTCACGTTGACCCCAACTCATGGCAACCCCACATGTGAGAGAGTGGAAATGAGCTCCATTAGATTTTCAATGGCTGGTTTTCCAGAACTAGGCTGCTAGAATTTCCTTCCAAGGTGCCACTTGATTGTCTCAAATTGTCAACCATTTGAAGGGTTAGCAGCCAAGACATTAACTATTTGCACCACCCAGATACTTCTTTGTGATACATAGTGTCCCAGTTTCCTCAGGTGGATGATAAAAGCAGCAATATGAAATTAATGAAACAATTTTGTTTGGGAAAATAATCCTTTTATAATATTTTATTTGTAGAGCAAATTGCATGAAATTATATTCTGACCCTATAACTAATTAAAATGTATGTATTGATTGATCCTTAAAATGCTTGAAGATCAAAGGCCTAATTCTGAAATTCTCTAGAAGAATTATTGCTGCGAAGTGCCATTGAGTCAGTTCCAACTCATAGAAACCTTGTGTGGAGTTTCTGAGAAGTGACTGGTGAGTTTGAACCACTGACCTTGTGGTTCAAACCAAGCTTGCGGTCCCATGCTTATTGTACAGCATTAGGTCATGAAGCAGCCTGGCATTATCTTATAAAATACGTGCTCAACTTCTAACCAAAAGATTGGTGATTCAAACTTGTCTAGCTACTCTGAAAGAGAAAGCATTGGTGATCAGCTTCTGTAAAGAATGTTCCTTTGTTAAATTGCCATGAAGTCTGTTCCAACTCATAGCGACCCTGTGTACAGTTTACAAGGCTTTAAATCTTCATGAGAACAGCTGGCGGACTCAAACTGTGAACCTTATGGTTCACATTAAGGTACTTATTGTATGGAACCACCAGTGAAAAACAAAAACTCATTGTTTTGAGTAGATTCGAACTCATGGTGGCGCTAGAGGTAGCAGGTAGCCAATTGTACAGAAGCTGACTGCCACATCCTTCTCCCACTGAGTAAGTAGCTGGTGAGTTCAAACTGCTGACCTTTAACTATTGTGTCCATCGTGTTGCTTCCATAAAGAGTATGGCCAAGAAAATCCTATGGGATCATTCTAGTTTGTCACATGGAGTCGCTGAGTCAAAATCGACTCTACAGCATCTAACTGCAATAACACTAAGAGGACATTACCACAGTAGTAAATGACTCCATACTCTCATGAAAAACTTTCTGGCCCTATGGCATATTGCATCTTTACAGTAATTCTATTAATTTAGAAGCTTAACAAAGCGAATGTTTTGTAAGATCTGTTTCTCCCTTATAACTCATTATGCATGTCCCAGTTGATAATAAATAGCATGGTCTGAGGCAGGAACCATTCTTGATTTGGAAACAATTGTGTCTGTGTTACTCTGAGTAGAGAAACTCATTCATTGCAGACTCTCATGTTGAGGGAAATGGGATCATGTACTTCAGCATGTACTTCTGTCTCACTCCAGATTTCTCAAAATGTAAAGAATGAGTCCTTTCACTCTTACCAGTTCAGTTGACTTCTCATTCCTCTTTTTTCTGCCCAGGGCACTGGTGCATCCAAGTGCCCGTTGATGGTCAAAGTCCTGGACGCTGTCCGGGGAAGCCCAGCTGTCAACGTGGCTGTGAGGGTGTTCAAAAAGGCTGCTGATGAGACTTGGGAGCCATTTGCCGATGGGTAAGAAAACAAACGAATCCTGTCATGGACTTCACTTTATCTTTCAGATGGCTCCGGAGAGATAGAGGCTCAGGCAGTTCACTAAGGAACCTACAAGTAGATTGAAAACGGGGGCAGAGGTCAAATGTGCAGAACTGAGAATGTATTCCTCTTACTTTGCTTAGCTTGGGGGCTGGGAGGTGACCAGGAACCTGACCACTATTTAGGGAAGTAAAGTGGAAAAAAGAAAAGCTGAACTTGTTCCCATTGAGTTGATTCCAATTCAGGGAGATCCCATGTGTTACAGACTAGAATTGCTCCATACAGGTGTCTTGGCTGAATGTTTACGGAAGCAGATCCCCAAGCCTTTTTCCTGTAGTATCACTGGGTGGTACTTTTGGGTTAATAGTTGAGGGCAAACTGGATGGTGGGGAAAGAAGGAACCAGAAACTCCTCAACTCTACAAGTGGTTTACAGGCCTTTAGGGTCACAGACCACATTAGTGAGGAAAGCTATAAACTCCACAGGCACATAAACACTTTATACAAAATAAACAAACACTTTATACAAATGCACATAAACACTTTATACAAAAAAACATACAAAATGCTATACAAAATTTTATATACAAAAAATTATTATAGAGGTCCCTGAAAATAACCCAGGCTAAGAATCTCTGTTTTAGAATTTTAGGAAAGCTGTGCAATTTGTTTATCAACAAAAGGTAAGTAGTTGAGGGGCACTACTGACAAGGCAGCTCTATGTAGTTTATTCGGATCATTGAACTTTTGTCTAGTGAAGTTTGGTGGAGCACCTACTATATGCATGATTGTCAGACCAGAACTCAATAAGAAATGCCATAGACAGGCAAGACAAAGGCAAACTACAGCCACTGACTAATTTTGCACTTGTTATGTGCCATGGATTCGGTTCTGACTCACTCATAGTGACCCTGTACAGGGTTCCTGAGGCTGAAAACCTTTATGGGTCGTGGAACAGCTGGTAGTTTCAAACTGCTGACCTTGAGGTTAGCAGCCCAATTCGTAACCATTACACTACCAGATTTCTTTGCACTAGACAGGTGGAAAATGGACTACTCACTTTACAAATGCCATGGGGTGTTTCCACCTTCACTAGCAAGAACTTCAAAGAAAATGCATATTAGTAACCCTAAGCAAATTAACTGAAAGAAAGCTACCAAGAAAGTCTTAGCGCTAGGCAGAAGTGGAACTGCTAAGTATTCATGTCCCCTAGGTAAAGAATTTCTGTGGGTTTTAATTGAATCCCAAGAGCCACTTTATGAGTCTTCACTCGTCATTGAGAAGACCATTTTCTTTGGTGCAGTTTTAATGATTTGTCATTTGAGATGTTAAAGTTAAATATTTTCTTCCTGGAAAAAAGAAAGGAACGTGGGGCATGGTCAGAATTATTATAGACAATTTCCATTTCTATCTGAGTTTCGCAGTTTTCGATGTTCAACTATTGGGCTGGTACTTACGTCATCTGTATGAATGAATTTGCCTAGTATGTGCTGTTGGTGAAGAGTTACCACAGAAAATCCATATATTAAAGAGTCTGAATGTGTTCTTCATTGTACTTCGGGTTTCTGTGTGTGTGCAAATGATACTATTTCTGCAGCCCACACTCACCCCAAGAGGGAGAGGAAACTAAAAAAGTTCTCACAAGTTTCCTGTCATTTAATTGCAGAGTTCTTCCCTTTCTGACTTGATTAAAATATCGATATCTATCTATCTGTATAGTTAAGATCTATCTAGCGTAGTGGTTACGAATCGGGCTGCGAACCGGAAGGTCAGCAGTTCGAAACTACCAGCTGCTCCGCGGGAGAAAGATGAGGCGATCTGCTCCCGTAAAGATTTACAGCCTCAGAAACCCTATTCAGGGTCGCTATGGGTCGAAACCGACTCGACAGCACTTAACAACAACAACAACATACATATGATGGTGGTGGTTGGGTGCCATCAAGTGACCCTGAATAGGATTCACTAGCGGAAAGCCTTATCTTTCTCCCACAGAGCTACTGATAGACTGGAACTGCTGACCTTGGGGTTACCAGTCCAGTTCATAATCCACTATACCACCAAGGCTCCTTACACACACACACATATATATATGGAGTCTTGGTGTGGGCGTCTCCTTGGAAACCCTATACAGGGTCCCTATGGGTCGGAACCGACTCACAGCACTTAACAACAGCAAGATAGATAGATAGATAGATAGATAGATAGATAGATAGATAGATAGATAGATAGAT